CCATTTGATCCATAAACCTTCTTTCAAGCTATATCTTTAGATTTTGATTCTTTTGTTTTATTTGTGTTCCCTTTATTGGTTTTTGTGAAGCATTTGGTCTCTATTGTATGAGTTTTGGTGGATGACGGTGATTGTTTTGTTCTTATAATGAATGCAAGTTTGTGTTGTAAATATTTTGTGAATGAAAAGCAAATGCAAAAGTTGAAAAAGCCGTCCATAGGTAAAGGAGGCGAGGACATCGAAATAAAGTGAAAAAATGAGAAAAAGCAAAGCAAATTCAAAAGCTTTGGAAAAAAATTGAAAAAAGTGAAAAAATGAAAAATAATTCAAAAACTTATTTTGATGTAAGTGTCTTTCTGTCTATTTTAACCATTAAGGATAATGCTTTGTTCAAGCTTGGTTTGAAGCGTTCTTACGCTTTTTGTACTTATGTTTGTGATTCTTGGCTTTGAATAAGCTTGGGCGCGTTGTGTTTTTGTTTGGTGTTTGCTTGGTTTTGGTGTGGAGATTTGGCCAATCTTTGCTTCACGATTTAGGTATACCACCAAATTTAAAAATTTAGCCTACCTTCACCCTTCTTACCTTTACATTACAACCCTTTCTAAGAACTTTTGACCTTTGTGGTTGAGTCACTATTCGGTGAAGGGAGATGTAGGTCAAGCTTATAGAGCAGCATGCAATAGTTGAGATGTTGAGTAGCCTCGAGTCTCTTTCTTTTTCCGGTTCCTTCGAGGAACCATTGAGATGCTCGCTAAAAGTAGATTTGAAGCTAATTGGTAGAATGTGCTAAAAATGTTTTGAAATGAAAGTGACTTGTGTCTTGATACTTCTCTTTGCTTACCATGTTTTATGTTTCAATCAACCTTAGATATCTTGAAACGTGCACTCCCTTACTTGTTTAGGAGGAATTATATCCATTTGTGTTTGTTCATTTGCAAAAGTCCTTTCATGAACATTTGTTTTCTCTCCTTTTCTTTAGATTTTTTTTATGCTTTATCTTATTTGTTAGGTTTGTAAGAGTTATGGCTTAATATATTATTTGTTTTCTATCCTTACGAGAGCATCACTCGTCCTCTAGGGCGATCTAGGGGTTTAAATGGCTTGTCATTAGTTTTTAAAATTGACCGTGATTCCTACGAAAGTGTGTTAGTGTATATTCTCATCCTCTCTAGTTTTCTTGTGTCTTTTTGGCTTGAATAACGTCATCATTTTCCCTTGGGTCAAATTTTGTTTTGCTCGAGGACGAGCAAAAATTTAGCTTGGGGGATTTTGATGAGTCTCATTTATGGCGCTCAAAAGCATAAGATTTAGGTTCATATTCTATATTTTGTTTCTTTATTTTCATATAATTTTCTTAGTTTTATTTGGTTTTCCGTTTAAATAACTCTTTTCGGTTATGTTTAGTTTTTACGAGTTTTTCTTATTTTTAGTTATTAATTTGTAGTTTTAGTTTATTTTATTTTATTTCGTTTTGTTTTCTCAATAAGTGTTTTCTGTAGGTGTTTGTTCGGGGTGAAGACGTTCATTTCAAGTCCATTTGCAAGTTCAAGTTGCCATGTTCTCGTGATTGCGCTCGCATTAACTTTGGTGACGAACATGCAAAACTTGAGCATTTGGGGTTGCCTTGCTCGTGAGCATCACACGAGATTGATGCTTGAGAGCGCAGACGAGCTACATCGCAACAACCTCCAACTCTCACTCACTCACAGCTCCTTTGCTTCCCCAATTCCAGAGCAACAAAAATAACAACAATCACCACCTTTCTCACCCCCAAAACAGCCACCAATCACACCATCACCACACAACAATTACAACCCCGAGCAGCTTTGCCTCACTCATGACGTAGGGAAAATGTAGGTCGTTATCTAATCTTCCCTAGAGCCAAACAAATTTATAAACACTTAACAAACCTAAATACGAGTATAAAGGTAAGTCAAGGGTCGAACCCAAAGGAACGGTTAAGTTCAAGTACTCTCAATTATGCTCTTAAGCTAGGTCAAAATCAAAGGTAAGAGGTAACACTAACTACTAACAAAACAAAAAACCAAACTAATGAAACACTAGGAATGGGGATCAACAAGAAATCATGACAATTACAACAACTTGAGAAGAGCATGTCAATCAAAGGTTGTGAAGACTAATGATAAGAGCTATCAATTGGAATCAAAGAGCTATCGCCGAATTGTTAAGCTAGGGTTCACTATGAATAACAAACTAAGAGAATCACAATCTAAAGCAATCAATAATTGCAATTCCTAAATCTATTGGCCGTGTCATTAGCAATTACAATGCAATTTAGCATAATTCTCAAGGCCTAATCGAATTACACACATGTAAACCTTAATTAATCACTTTAATCTCAACAATCAATCAACAAAATTCCCAAATTAATCACAACCAATCAATCATACAAGTTTCACCCAATTCCTAGCCAAACAACTACTCAAGAATCATCATTTATCAACAAACAACTAATGAAATCAAGAATCAACAAAATATCAAGAACAATTACACTATCAAGTATCAAACGTAAAAATTAAACCAAACAAACATGAAATTAAACAAATCAATAAAATGAGATAGAGTGAGAAATGCACATCGATTGATTTAAGAAGATCTTCAATACAATTGTCACCATTGAATCTTCAATCTCTCAAACCACCATTGAAATCCCTCACTTTCTCTATCTAAACTACTCCTAAACTATTCCTAAACTAGAGAGAGAAGCTCTCAACCTAAGATAAGATATGAGAGAGAAAGTCTCAGCTAACCTAAAGATCGTCCCCCTAAAAATAGAAAGGTCAATGCTATTTTATAATCAAACGAGCGAAGGGAAGCAGAGCAGGCCGTGCGCACGCACCACCTCTCTGTGCGCACACACAGTAAGCCACATAACAGGTCGTGCGCACGCACCAGCCACCCCATGCTCACGCACAGCAGGGTTTGCGCGCACGCACAGAAGGGTCTACGTGCACACACCCGTGCTGTGATGCTAGAGGCTTAGCTCCCCTTGCTTGCTCGATCGATCTTCGCGCTACCGAGCATCCTTATCATCGGTGCACTCGAGGAGATGCCCGCGAGGAGGGAAGCCTTTTATTCTTCAAGTACTTGTACACTACGAACTTATTCATTGCTTCTTTCGTGCTCGTACTTGCGGAGCTAGCTTGGTTTGCTTGAGTTGCATGCTTAGATTCCTGAACTTAGCTCCATTAACTTCCTTGAATGCGCTTGAGCTTCCTCCTCGATAATTAAATCCCGGGAAACTCGACACACCTACAAAACAAGTCAAAGAAACAGAGAAGTGAGAGAAATAGCCGAGAAATAAATAAAATAATAAAAAAAACCATCAAAAGCACACAATTCTCTAAACTTATACACAAACACGCAAAACAAGCATTATTATGTAAGAACATGACATAAAAGACTGAATATGATCATAAAACTTCGGAGAAAACCTACCCTAAGAGTGCCGTAAATGGCACGCATCAAATTTTCTCAAGTTAAACTTTTGCTCTTCCTCGAGCAAAACAAAAACAAGGGAAAAAAATTACGAGCTTATTCAAACAAACAAAAAAGGAGAGGAGAAAAGAATATACAGTAACTAACTTTCGTAGGAATCACGGTCAATTTTAGCAACAATCGACAAGCCATTTAAACCCCTAGATCGCCCTAGAGGACGAGTGATGCTCTCGTAAGGGTTTCTTAAGAGATTGACCTATAACTCTCACTAACTAAAAAAAGAAGGCAAAGCACAAAAAAGAAGCAAAAGAAAAGAAAAGATCACAAATGTTCATGAATGGACTTTTGCAAATGTACAAGCATAAATTAGCACAAATCTTTCTAAACAAGTAAGGGAGTGCATGTTCTAAGATATCTAAGGTTGATTGAAACATAGAACATGCTAAGTATAGACAAGTATCAAGACTCTATTCACTTTCATCTCAAAACATTTTTAGCACATTCTCCCAATTAGCTTCAAATCTACTTTTATCAAGCATCTCTATAGTTCCTCGAAGGAACTGGCCTAGAAAAAGAAATAGATTTGAGGTTTCTCGACATCTTGAATTTGCATCCCCTCTCCTTAGGCTTTAATTCATAATTCCCTCCCCCGATATGTGACTCAACCTCTAGGTCAAAAGGGCTTTCCAAATAGTTGTAACGTAAGGGCAAAAGGATGAAGGTAGGCTTAAAATGTAGAATTTGGTGGCATTCTAATTAGTGAAGCAAAAGGGTGATCAAATCTTCTCCTTATAACCAAGTAATCACCAAACAAAAACGAACTAACACCCCCAAGCTTATCCGATCCAAAGCTATAACAGACGTGTCGCCGCGACCCCAAGCCTGTCGCTAGGCGACAGACTATACTGCGGCGCTGCAATCAGTTTTTCCACGCGTTTTCTTATTTTGATAAAATTTAAGCGTACAAAGGGTAAAACTATAATTTCCTTAAAAACACTACTTCTTTTATTCCAAATAAAACTCTTAAAACTCAATTATCAATGTTAATCAAATTAGGATTCAAAAGAACCTTCTAGAAGATTCTAGAAGACTATAATCAATCCTAATTGTATTAGGAATGATAAATCATAATAGGCCCTCCCCTAGATCATTTGGCCGCATATAAAAATCAAACCGGGCCCAGTTTAGTAATTTGGCTATAACTTCCTCATTATTCATCGGAATTGGGCTTATAATATATTGTTGGAAAGGTCTTTTCAAGCCCCACCCAACTATACCTTTATTGGACCCTTGCCATAGACCAAACTAAACCGGACCACTTATTTTCATAAAATAGGTTTTCAAAAACAGAGAGAAAGAAAAGAATTAAAAACTAACAGCAACACTAGACTTTCCACACTTTCACTTCATTCGATTATGATTCAACGTGAAAGGTACTCATCACTGGGTTTGGATTTGGGGAGACATAAATGGGTGTCTACATACACCAGCGTAACATATCGTCAGTTGCCATGTCATGTGTGAAGTTGTTAAACTTTGTTAACTTTGCAAACCACAATTGAAATATGATAATGGTCGAATAACATAAGTTTTTTTTTACGTATAAATTATTAATCAATTCATATATGCCCGCGAAAATTTTTATCACATTTGACACAAAATTGTAAAGTGCTGCCAGTATTTCATACAAAATTTCTTTTTTCTTTTCAAAATTAATTTAATTATTTTTAAAACGAAATATCATACTCACATTCCACTAATATAGACCAAGTATTACCATTCAAAATACATATACCAACATTTACCATATAAATACTATAATCCTTTAATTTACTGTACAAAGTACTAAATTGTAAATACCAAATTCTAAAACATTCTAACAAAGTCATGTTAACATCTCCAAAGTGGAGACGAATCCAAAATTAGCCCCGCAACAACACATTGTGAATCCTCAAAAGTTTAGAAAACAAAAGAAACATCATTTTAATCATCTCCAAACAAACAACATTTTCATAATCAAACCGAGTCTGACTCGACCCCAAGCAACGCCAGAAATGTGAGTCTTAATTCGTTCTCATCGTTGTAAAGATCATCATACAAGAGAGAGTTTCGGGCAACATCCACACTCCCTTGTCATAAGGAAAAAAAATTCCATCACATATGGAACCCAAATGGGCATATCAATCCATAAATAAGACAACAAAACAAATGTCCACCCAAATTTGGATCATACCACACCTAAGTGATGAGTGAACTGATACGCGCATTCTTTAATACCCAACAACATGATGACACCACAGCTTTGACTGCACATAAAACACAACCAAACCATTCAAGAAAAAAATACAAACACATACAACCAAGAAACTAAGGGTTGTTCTTACTTGTCATACGGTTCCATGATTTTTATAGCATCAGTTTTCCAGTCTACAAGCTTCCATCCTTCCTATGTGATGTCATAGTTCTGCAGAATAGCATCGATGCCTAGCGCCTATGCATACATAACATTAAGAATATAATATCACGATTATGCAATACCAATTGTAATCAATCAATCTTATACTTACCATCTTTTCAAGGACATCTCTGTGTTGTGTATTAGGATCAAAGAACATGGTATCAATGTACCATAAGCACTCATCCCTAAAATCCACAGCGAGACACCATCAGTGGTCCTGTTGCAGAACGGGTACAAAAACCTACCGCCAAAAACACCCTATTAATCCAATAAAGAATGCACAAAATCAAATTCAAAGACATATACACATATCACTCACCACTCTAATGTCGATGATAGACAGGCCTTTGAAACTTTGGCCATGCTTCTTCGTTGCAACGTTATGTGCCTCTACTTCTTTTATTAAACGGTCCTACACAAACAATAAACAATAAACAATTTCAGCTAAATGATTGCCTTTTTACATCTATTTAATACTACATAGATATATCAACATTATCACCGAGTACGTATTATCTATCATTATTCTCTTGCGGCCACCCATGTACATAGCAGCCAATTGTTTGGTATACAGCTTAACTGTCATCCTCACGTATTAGGTGCTCACCTGTTCTCGCACATTCTGAACACCATGGAAATCCCCAACTATTGCATCCATCCCGTCGCACAGGATCAGATAAACTACCCTACAATATAATGATGAAAACATTACATTAATACACCAACCAAATGTAATTTAACCTTTAATAATTTTTGACAACTACCCTAAAACTTACCCGCTTAAACCATCATCCCTAACTTTCCAATTCTTTATCAACGTGTTTACATTCCGCCCCACAACTCAATAATTCCTGGTCCTACCCCTCTCTGCCTTCCTTGGATTCCCTTTCCCCCAAGAAAGACTGTTGTCCTCGTTTTTTTTGTTGCCTTGGTTACCCTGCTGCACTTCACCTTCTTTATCCCCATCCCTCAGCAGTACACCTTTGTCTTCCGAACTCTCAACATCAGCGCACCTTTCTCTCCTAGCCTCCCCATCAGCCACACGATTTTTCCTATTGTTCTCTTCTTTATTCTTTTCCCCAGCTTCAACATCCTCTCCATAATTCTTCTCTCTTGCATTATTCTCCCCATCTTCTGCAATGTTTTCACTATCATCTCTTGATTTCTTCCCCCTTTACAATCGATCTCTCCTTCCCCATCTATTGGATTCTTATTCCATAACAACCCTGCATTCTCTCCTCTTGCATTCTCTCCCCCTGCATTCTCTCTTCCCACCCAGCCCAGCATTAGCTTCAGCAACAACCCCTTCACTCTATATACTCGGAAGCACCTCATTTATAGAGGATAAATTGTCATAATTCGTCATCAAGGATCACCTGCCACAATCCTATTACCCAGGTCATCCCATTGAACACTTTTCTTCTGTGCTGCTACATTAGCCCCCTTCAATGCAGCCTCTGCACTTGCTATCAGTCCCTTTAAAGGATGACTTCCCCTACTACTTTCACTTTTCACCCTTTTCTTGGACAATGTCCCCAGACAGCGCTTGATTGATTCTTACCAAGGAGTTAAGGCTTTCACTACCTACACAAGCTCAACCTGGAACAAAAGACATGCAAAACTAAAATATCTATTGACATCAACTTCAACCAACATCACATACCTTTCTAACAATCAAATCCTTCATTGAGTATCCAACTAGCTCCTGCGACAATCTCTTATCCCTCGCAAGGCTAGGATGGCGCTAACCACACGCAACATCAATGCATTTTACACATGAATATCAATACATAAACCAATAACAAACTATAACTAAATACAGACCAATGACAAGCCTAAGCTTACCTTCAACTTCTCATAGTCACCAGACAACCTCTCTTCTTCTTTAATAACACCGCTCACTCTCTCCTGCGTCCATACATTAATCCTCGGCATCTCACCCCATGAATAGGGAGTCAAACTCAAATTGTCAACGTAAAATAGTTGTAAAAATAGCGTACACCCACCACAACCAGTAACAAAGCCATACTTCCCAAACTTCCGCTGAAAATTTGTCTGATATGCCATCAGCCAACCATAGCTAAACTCTTCCTAATTGTACAGCTCCACCTCATGAGCTATCGCAACGGCCGACACCAATGAGAACGACAAATTATCGCATCTACGACCTGCCCAAGTGAGATGTCTGTCCTTCTCTGTGTATCCAAAACTCCAAACCATTTGCCAATCAGCTTAACTTTTTTGTTCATGTTTATGTCCAGCTTTTCACAAGTTAGCGGCAAAGGCTCGCGTGTTTACCGTATTCCTAACACACAATTCCACTGCATGGGACATAGAGGCAACTCCACACCATCCCCAAATTGCATCACACTACTCACATGATCCACCCTAGTATGCAACCAATAGCAGAACTTCTTGTCTAATCGATTCACCTTCAAGTTCAGAAGTGAACCTAACCCCATTTCTTGAACTGCATTTTTCCTTGTTGGATCCAGTCCATCATTAACCTTGATGAATGCATGCATGCGACATATGACATTTGCAGGTTGTTCAACACAATAGTAAACACAAACTGTGATACCAACACATTGAATTCCCACTATCATAACACAAATCAATGAGTGAATGTTGACAAAACACACCTTGGAACAAAAATGTGATTGGGTATCTACTACCAGGCCGCTCCTTCTTTGTCACAATAACTCCAAGTGGACAATTATCAACCGCCTACATGTACAAACATACAAACAAACAACCTATAAAAATACAAAATAAATTAATGAAATGCAAAAAAAAAAGCTTCATACTCTATTTCAAAATATTACCACCCGCTGCGGATCCCACACCGTGGCCCTGATAGCCTTTTTCAATTTAGCTTCCATTGCTTTTGACATTTTCTTCTTCAACTTGCTTGCTCAAGCCTTGCCTTATTGAGTTTCCAGTCCAAATGCTGCAACTCTTCATCCTCAGTATCCTGCTCATCACTACAACCTCCATCTTCTTCACTTCCTTGCTCTGATTCATCTTCACTTGCACCCCATTTGAATCTTTTAATAGTTTTTCCCCCTTCCCTAATTCCATGTGCAAGCAACTCAATCTTGTAGGTCACTTGATAGGAAGGTTCAACCCCTTGTCCTTACCTCTTTTTACTGCTTTTCTCAAGTATGTTCTTATCTACAAACAATTTTCTTTTACCAGCTGCAACCTTTTTCTGGCTTTTATTAGCAGCAACCGCTTTTTGGCTTTTATCACCAACATTTACACCTTCTTCCTGAAAATCCTGTGTAATTCCCTTCATTGTGAGCTACAACAGAAAACATAGTAAGTAAGTATACAGGTTAATTACCTCAATTGTAAACACAAAAACACAAAACACACAGTTACTCACCCCCAACTTCGCCCTACTACCAACCGCTAAACGAGAAGCATCACCCCTTTTTCATCCCATTTGTCCTGTTGCATATAACATTTTATATTAAAACTTAAAATAACAACATGTTTATTTCCACTCAATTTCTTAGTTTGCTAGTTTTGTAATATTATGTTGTACAAGATCTCAAATGCCAACATAAGTCCACTTTGAACCAACAATCTGAATTTCACAAAAATTGATCTTTCACATAATTTCAATTTCAATTTCAATTTCACCTATATCCATCCAAGATGGACCTGCACATAATCACTTTACCAATATTTTACAAAATAACAAGTGCAAAACTATTTAAGATTTCAAATAGCAACATCATTCGAGTTTTAACCAATAATCTGCTATTCACATCAATTAAACTTTCAAAACAATTGAACTTTCAGAAGCACAAAAAACCTAGTCAAAAGAAATTTCATGGTTTTCCACACATCAATTATTTACTTCAACATGAAACCTGAATTACGATATTTAGGACACCACACAGCCAAATACATCAACGCTAGTAGTAAAACAAATTTCATGTGTTCCGCACATCATAAACGCGGCTTTGTTTCACAATTGTACAACATAAATTCTATTAATGGGAAAATTGGACATAATTACGCTTAATTTTCCTTGTATTCGCAGAAATAACTCCAAACTAAGACATCATTTACAAGAGAAAAAACCAAAATTAGCAATAAATTTAGTACAATGCATTCGAATTTCGCCACCCAAAACAAACAAACAGTGTACAATTTCAAAATTCTAGGGTTCCCCACATTTCTTACCTGTATTAGCAGGAGAAAGATGTCGATGCCTGAACAACAAGCACCAAACAAAGAACAATCACAAACGACAGGAGACCTAGAATAGAAGCGACAAGAACGTGAAATTGAGTGATAGAGAGAGAGAGAGAGAGAAGGGAGTATAGAGAGAGGGAAGTTAACTATTTTAAATTCTTTATGGGAAGATTAAGAAGGAAGTTAATGAGAGAGAAAGGGAGGTTGAAGAATGGAAAACGAGGTTTCCCTCATGTGGTACCTGTGCAAACAGCCCAATAATATTTTTACCCTTACTAACTACGAAATGACAACGCCCCTGCTAGAGCCATTCTCGTCTCTAGTTGCTAAATGCTAAGAGAATCTCTAAGTGGAAGTACCGGAACATTAGATTGCTAGATAAGTTAGTGGACTTGAGAGAAAACTTAACAAAAAGGTTCATATGTATGCTCATGGTAGCTTTGACCATGTGGCATGTGATACAAAAATCCTTCTAAATTGAGAAGGCCACTAGCCTAGTGTGTATGCTAAGGGTAGCTTTAACAACCCATTTGTTTTAAAAATGAACAGTCCAAAGTTATTTCTAAGGATTACAAAGGTAATATGATCTTGTTTGGAAGTTTTTTTTACAATTTTTTTTATTCTTATTTTTATGTACGAAAATTATTATCAATAGCATATAAATATATTAATTTTTATTATAAGTAAATGACAAATAAATGAAGTGAATTGTGAGTGTTGTCTTTTATAGGTTATGTGAATTCTAGTGACAATATTTCATAAATCCTAGCGAATTGGAGACATTTTAATCGTGGCCTATTCCTACTCTCCTCATTCAAGCTTGAAATTTCATGACCTGGCTACGTTTATTGGAGATTTTAATCGTGGCTCAAGTCACTAAATGCACGAAGGAGACTTTTGAGTGGACATCATCATCTCAAAGGACTTTTGAAACCCTAAAGAAAAAAAATTATGTGAAGTTTCAATCTTGGCTCTCCCCAATTCGAACAACTGTTTGAAGTAGTAGAATAGGGTGATAGAGGAGTTGGAGTTGAGGCGGTGTTTGTTCAAGGATGAAGACCAATTGCTTAGTTTAGTGTGAAACATGACAGGGACAGGACAAGGTGTAATGCTTATAACATGGAGTTTGATTATATAGTGAGAGCTCAGATTCATTACTTGAAATCAGAGGAATTTTAAAGGGATGAATGTTAGGCATGTAAAAATGCATAACAAAGGTATTTATGTAATTATACATATGTATAAACGAATGCATATTCTGATATCATTGAATGATCAAATGGTACCATTGAATATAAAGTGATACTATATATGCACATAATGGTATTATATATACATTTTAGTTGTACTAAATTTATGCATAAATATTACCACTGAGAACTCAATGGAACAATCAGCATGTGGTCTCCCATCACATGATACAATCCGACTAAAAAATAGACTGGATTCACCTACATACCTCTCTCTTCCTATCTCTCTCCTCTTTTCTCTCTCTACCATGTGTTTTTAAAATATTATAATCAATATTATGTATTTACAAATACATAACATTCCTCCATTCCACTTCCTCTTGGAATCAAGACCCATTGTATTTCATTATACTACGTAATAATAAATCACTCAAGTATATCAAAGGTTTACGTAATCCTAATGTTGTTATGCATGCCAAGTGAATTAAAATTCTTCGACCTTCTATTTTTTTATGTAAGCTTTTAAAGAAATTGCACGGTGAAGATAAGGATTTTGGTGAGCTGTTGAAGAAGCGTAGAGATGGTACCAATATACTCCCTATGTCCCCTTTTGATATTCTCTTATGGGCTTTTTTTACGGGAATTAATAAACACAAATAACAATAGTAAATTACATTGAAAAACTATATTTACATTGGGTATGTAAAAAAGTAGAGAAAAAAAATAATAAAAGTACATGGAAAAAAAAAATTGCATGGAAAATTTAAATTTGCACAAATATTATTGCAAATTGGAGGGAATTTGGGTAAAAAATTAATATTAATAATTGTTGCAAAAAACAAATGGGGTAAACATTTTGGGACTAAATTTTGTCCATAATGAACTATCAAAAGAGGACGGAGGGAGTATAGTCTTACCATAAAAGGAATAGAAAACTAGTGTGAATTTGGCAAAGGAAATACTTTTGTCAAAATTGAACTAATTCGAATTAATGCTCCTCAATTACAAGCATAGAACCTTTTCGATTCATAAAAGGTTTATCCTTCATTCTTTGCTTATATCTAACTATTATACCATCCTCAATTATTCTACATGTTTCTTCATTGAGCTTATTTGCGTTTCCATTGCAATGTAAGGCATCAAGAACCAGCTTGTAAGTGTATTCCCTCGGAATCAAACCTCCATCCACCAGCTCCACAAGAAGTTCCCAAGCCTCAGACGCCCTCTCGACTTCACAAAAAGCATGAATGATAGGTGTGTAAGAGCTAGTCGTGGGAGTTCCATGATTCAGCTCTTGCATTCTTCGCAACATCTCAATAGCCTTATTGATCTCGTTCACAGCACTATAGTACCTAATAAAAGAGTCATACGTAACTCGATTTGGTAAACAACCCCTCTTAGTCATATCTTCCAAGAGCTCAAGAGCTCTTTCAATCCTATTAGTCTTACAACACCCATCAATTAAGCTATTGTAAGTGACAATATCAGGAACAAAACCCTTAAACAACATTAGACGAAAGAGATGATTCGCTTCCCACAACCTCCGCCTAATGGCCTTCCTACACCCGGTCTGCAGGGCATACTTGCAGTAAGAGCTTATCAAAATTGTGTAGGTGTACGTATCAGGCGGGCAACGAAACCCAGGTAGCTCCATTTGCTGCAGCAAACTCTTAGCTTTCACAAAGAACCCAACTCTACAAAGAGCCAAAATGACAGTATTATAAGCATAAACATCAGGTTTACAGTGAAACTGTTTCATTCTATAGAAAGCCTGCATTGCTTCATTTACAAGCCCTTCTTCACCTAAGCATTTCATCAAACAGGTGATAGACGTGGTGGTCACTAGCTCACAATCTACTTCCCTACTCATTTCCCTAAGAAAATTCCACAGTTGACTCAATTTATTAGCCTTAGCCAACACAATTGCCATCTCTCTGACGGTAATCTCGTTGTGGGTGAACCCGGCGTGGGATTCGACCCAGTAGAAAAACTCGGTCGCTTTTGAGACCCCGTGATCAACCCGGGTTAAATCTCGATAGGCTGCAGGTCCAAGAATTAGGAAATTGCTTTGATATTTTAAGGATTCCTGGCGGAGATCACGCTGCTTGAGAGGAGCGCGGTGGCGGGAAAGATTGGGTTGACGGCCAATAGAGCGTGTTGGCGTGAAGAAGAAAATGGGTATGGAGCGGAGGATGTCCGAAATAGTTTGAGTGGTCCATGAAAGTGGAGGTGAGGGGGCGGCATCGAACGGACCATCCCTTATCATTACGGCAAGGACTTGCTTAACCACCTGAGAACGGTGGTGGTAAAGTTGAGGTTTTGAAGCTAGCATGTTTGTTTGGATTGGAAAGAGAACATTACATCTCCTTTTTTTTTTTTTTTTTTTTTTGAACGGACATCTAAGTTTGTTTATATGTGGTCGTATAATTGTATCATTTGGACGTTTTATACTCTTTCCTTTTATTTTATTTTATTATTAGGAAAAAAAACACTTTTAACCATTTTTAACTAGATTTGTGCTTCGCGTAATGTCTAGATTGTTACTGAATTTTAATATAATTATGTTATTGAATTTTCTACTCATGGATTAATACTTACTCAACAACATATTTGTAAAATTAAAAAATATAATGCTATTGCTCATAAAAATATGAATGGTTTTAGGAATGAGTTTGGGATATCTAGTCAGGGGCGGAACTATGTAGGTGCATGGTGAGTCACGGAAAAAAAAATATCAAAGAGATCTCCTATTATAGACAGGCGGTCTCTTTGCTGCTATTGCTGCCTAACACGGTTAGATTTCTTTAAATAACAAAGAGACCGGTTATTCAGATAACGGGTCTCTTTTATTGCTGACATTGTATATGAATATTTGTTGCGCTGCTTTTTTTTCATTAAAGAGACCTGTTATATTTAATAACAGGTCTCTTAAGTTATCTCACTATTTTATTTTTATTTTTTTTTTTTATTTTTTTTTTTTTTGTGTACTCTGTATAATTTTTTAATAATTCTTGTACAATAAAGTTAATTTAATGTAATAATTTTATAGTACTATTTGTTTGTAACATGTTATTTATTTGGAGTACGCACTTTCGACTTGTAAGATTGAATTTTTAAGTACTATTGTAGTATGGAATTTTATGTCCTATTTTTGGATTGAAATCATTTTGGTGAAATATATTATTTTTTTTTATATATGCATATATATAATTTTTTGATTGAAACAAGTGATCAATTATTGATGGTGACTCACCCGTTCGAAAATCCTAGATCCGCCACTGTATCTAGTAGTTCACGAAAGTGACGCAAGTAGCGTGGTTAAAATAATTAAAATAAATCAATGTGGAGTGACACTTATTTTTATATTAATCGATGAAATTTCGAGGATCACTTGTGATTTTAACGCTTTTAATTGTGCTCATATTTGACAAACGGGTAATACAAATGTCCATATGGTAGCTAATTAGGAGATAGCTAATTTTATTTATTAAAAATAGAATTGTAAACCAATAGTTTAGGGTTCATTTGCCATTACTGTGGTTTTCTGTTTTTTGATTTTTCGTTTTTTAAATCATATGATATATATCATGTAATGAATGAAAAATTAGTCAAATTTATTAAAATTATGATAATTTTGAAAACTGACAACCAAAAAGTGAAAATACCTTTTTCTTGTTTCCTATTTTTGGTTTTTAGTTAAAAAAAACAAAAAACTGAAAACAAAAAACAATGTCAAACAAGCCCTAAATCTTTAAAACCAAGTTTTATTGAAAATAAAACTAAAAAAAATTATCTTACAAAATCTATCCAACTTTGTATTGGATAAATATATTCAAATAAATCCTGCGTGTTATATTAATAGTTAATTGTCGCTTTAGCTTTATATATTAGTTATACGATATGATATGAGCGATTTACTTATGGCTGACAAGGCAATAAGCACGTATTCAAATGTCTATCCCTAGATCAAATACAATTTATACAATCTAAACAAACCTAATATGAGTATAAGGCAAGTATAGGGGTCGTACCACAGGGAACGAATAAACACCACCAAATGTTATCAACAACTAAGCTAGTCCGGAATAGGAGATAAGTAAACTAAAGTCTAAAGATGCTAAAATAATAAATTAAGCACTAAGTGAAATGGTTTAATTATAGCATTAACTCAAACATAAACAAAGGCATAGAAATTGAATGAATCATAAACTAATTAAACATGCTTGATTCTAAATTTAACTATGAGGATTCAAATTCACAAAACGGGGTTTTTACGTTACTTTTTTGCAAAATCCGAGCTCAGTTTGGATCCTTTAGACCTCAAATGATCCCTAAAACATTTAATGAGACAATTTTTAGCACGAAAATCGAGAAAAAAAAATTAAATAGGAGTAAAGTGGGCCCCACTAACGACAACATGTAAAGGAAAGATAACGATAGGGTTACAGCGTGAAACTTTTCAAATGAAGGGGCACAACGTAAAATAGGCAATACTTCACGGGAATTACGTAGAAATTCCCAAAATAATAATACTTCATAAAAAGAATACAAATCCCATCAAAATCCAAAATGTCAGACCCATTCCATCTTCTTCGATACGCTGTTCTGTTCTTTCATCACAACCGCCTTACCATCATCAATGGTCTGATTTCCTTCATCAACCATCATCAGCAATAATAATCTTCAATCACCACCCATCACCATTCAATATCACGTGCGAAGCTCGTGATTCGGTTCAAATTGAACCCATATTTACGCGCCCGCGAAGACATCGCGCACAGGTTGCGGAATTGCTACTGTATGCACTCTGATTTTGCACTCCGATTGTGCGCTTCTGACAGAGCTGCGCGGCCGCGACTAATTACAATCAAAATTGGGGCTTTTAATGGCTGAATTGCAGTTGCAATCGGTGCGGTGCTGGGCAGCAATGGTGGTGCTGTGGTTGTGCGGAGAGGTGTATTGCGTGATGATGCAAGTGGCTGAGGGAAGGTGCGGCAGCGAGGGGTTGAATTGGTGGTCGCAGATGGTGAGTTTGAGTGTTAAGGCGCTGCTACTGTTTTGGTGCTGATTTTAGGTTGATAAAGTTTAATTTGTTATATTTTTTCAATGGTGAACTTAGAGGTGTCCACCGTGCGAGTCGTGCGAGCTGGGTTAGGGTTAGGTGGGTCGCGGGTTGGGGTTTCATGATACACGGCACGACACACGTAGGGTAGGGTGGGCCGGGTCGTGGGTTGGTTCGGAGAAGTTGGACACACCAGGGTTAGGTTCGTGGGTTAGACGAGTCGTGGGTGGGTCGAGCTGGGTTTGTGGGTTAGACGGATCGTGGGTGGGTCGAGCTGGGTTTGTGGGTTAGACGGGTCATGGGTGGGTCGAGCTAGGTTCGTGGGTTAGACGGGTCAAGGTGGGTTAGTGAGTTAGGGTGGGTCGAAGGGTGGGTTAGTGGGTTAGGGTCGGGTGGGTTTGTGGGTTAGGTGGGTTAGGGTCGGGTGGGTTAGTGGGTTAGGGTCGGGTGGGTTTGTGGGTTAGGTGGGTTAGGGTCGGGTGGGTTTGTGGGTTAGGGTCGGGTGGGTTCGTGGGTTAGGGTCGGGTGGGTTGTGTGGTGTTTTAATTTTTACAAAATTAACAATTTGATGGCTTGCTCTTAATTAAGATGCCTACGTATCCTTATATTATAAAATAAGGAATCAAAGCCAGCGTAGTTCTTATATTGTACTTCTTTTGAAATTTGGGGGGGGGGGGGGCTTGGACCTATCTTTAGAAAACTAAAATTTAATTTTGCAATTAAATTGTAATTTTCGAAAAATAAGTTGCCTACGTATCCCGAAAGAATCAAAGCCCACGTAGTTCTTAGCGTACCTGATTTAGACTTTTCTAGCCACCCATGTTTGTTGCATCATCATCCCCGGAAGCTGCATCATCCGTTGACGACTCCAATATCATCACAGGATCATCTTCATCGTCTTCGTCTTCCTTTAAACCTTGAGTTCTTCTTTTAGCTTGATCCCAATCTTTCTTACAAACACAAAATTGAATGCTTTCCGGAGTTAAGCGAGATCTTTTTTCATCTAACACTCTTCTACCTGCACTAAAAGCAGACTCGGAAGCAACAGATGAAGCGGGAACTGCAAGTATATCTTTTGCAATTCTCGCCAATATAGGAAAACTTTTTTTATGTTCTTGCCACCATTTTATAATTTGAAAGTTGTTGTTGGTCTCATGTTGATATGACAAATAATCATTAATAGCAAGTGTTGAAGAAGATGATGATGAGAATGATGTAGATGCTTTGTGTTTTTTTTTCATAACTTTATCAAGAAAACCAAATCTAGAATCGGAAGTGCTAGTAGTAGTTGGTGTTGCCAAATCAAAACCATAAATAGATGCATAATGATCATAAAGGTCTCCCAAAACAGATTTGCATTTGTTAATATATTCACTAACATCATAATCGATACTTAAACTTGTATAATAAAATTCTAAAAGATTTTCCAAACCTTCAGCTTTGACACCGGGGTCAAGAATAGCAGCAATTCCATAAATGATTGGAAATTCACTAAAATAAGTATGCCACTTACGTTTCATGCTATCAAGAACGGGACGAAGTCCATCAATCTTCATATGCTCTTCGATGGTGTGAACAACTTTAACACACTCAATTATGACTAAATGAACGTTAGGCTCATAAATATAAGAGAAAATATGAGTTGCACTATCAAAAGCATTTAAAACATCACGAACAAAAGAAGCATTAGTCCAATGACTTTCGGTTATTAACTCAGTAGGATCAACACGAGTCTCATTGTAAAGTTGGGTCAAAATATCACGATACTTTATAGCATCACTCAACAACTTGAAAGTAGAATTCCAACGGGTAGGGGTATCAATAGACCATTGTCTTTTCTTAAGACCTCTCTCTTTACACATAGCTATGTACTTTCTTCTAACTGACTGAGTAATCCTAATCCATTTTATAACTGTTCTAATTGGGTTTAGCAATGGTTGCAACTCAGCGAGACCCTCTTGAACAGACAAATTCAAAATATGAGCACAACATCTAACATGCAAGAGACTACCACCCAACAACAAATTCAACTCGGAGTCATTTTTCAAATAGTCAATACACTTTGTGTTTGCAGTTGCATTATCAAGAGACAAAGAAAAAACTTTAATATTCAAGTGAAATTCTTTTAAACAATCCAAAATACGAACTTTGATGTTAAAACCGGTATGCCTTTCTTCCATAGCTTGAAAACATAGTATACGTTTTTGAATAAACCAATCATCATCCACCCAATGAGCAGTAATGCAAAGAAAAGGTTCGCCAAAACTAGAAGTCCATGTATCACTTGTAAAACTAACACGACCATCAAAAGTACGAAATAATTCAATCAAACCACTCCTATACTTATAATAAGAAGTTTGTGTATAACGTCTTAGGGTATTTCGGGGGACACGAGTAAATGCAGGTTGTAATGCAACTTTATTAAAATGCTCAACGTTTGCATTTTCACCGTAACTAAAAGGGTATTCATTAGCAATAACTAAAGTACTCATTTCATCAATCTAACTATCTTTATTATAAATGAAAGGTGTACCTCCGCCGGGTTGGTTCATGTATCCACCCAATTGTGTTTGGACGCCACCCCCCGAAGGACGGGGGCCATTTTCGAACAAGTCGTGTTTATTTTGCAAATGCCGACTCAAGGTTCCGGTTCCATCTCCCGTTTTCCAATTATATGACTTGACATTTGCACCTAGCGCCTTGCAAACTAGGCATGTACACGTGAACCTCTTTGGTTGACCAGGTTGCCATCCCGGGGGTGTGACCTCAACTCGTTCAAAATGTTTCCACACCCAAGAAAAATGTGCTCGACCTCTACTTTCACCGCCACCACCTTTCATAAA